CCTCTGTGGCCGTTCTCCTTTCGTTTCCTTCAGCGGATCGACCTTCACCGTGATTTGCTGGCCGGCGACCACTATCCAGCGACTCGAAGTCGTCATTATGCACCGCAAATGGGGAAAAAAAAAGGGAGAAGAGGACGACGCGCGAATCCAGCCGATGTGGACAAGGAGGGGTGGAGTGGCGCGCGAGAGGCGGGCGGGATGATCGGGGAATTCGCTGGATTCAGCGGAGGGTCCGAAGGCGAGCGGCGGCCTTGAGGGAGATGATATCTCGCGAAACGTCTCTTGGCTGATAAGCGAAATCGTGCGCTCGTAATGTTGTGTACAGAGTCGTCGGTTTATCTAGTTTATCCGCCGACCGTGTCTATTCTTTGCGGCTAACATACGCGGGAGTGAGTTTGATACTGATGCGGTACATTCGATGCGGTATTGTATGGCACCGAATTAGCGAGCGGACTCCGGACTCCCCGCTATATTAAGGATTCCGTGGACTTTCTCTCTCTCTCTCTCTCTCTCTTCCTTCTCTTTCCGGCGTCCACGGGTGTAAATTTCGAGTGCCATCTTCCCGGCGAAGGCGAGGGAGATAAGCCGCGCGCAGAGTGAACGCAGACGGATACCGGTATTTCTAATTAATGCAGGCATCTGTCGAAAGAAAGCGAAAAGTGGTTTCACGCTTAATGATCGCGCGTCGATAGCGAGAATCCGCTCTATTAGTTAGACACTTAACGATCGAACTGTCAGTCGCCTATTTAAGGCGACGCGTCGCGCGCGCGATGACAAATTATTTCGAATACTTACCGTAAGTACGTAACCAGCGCGAATGTGCATTCATTTACACCGTTCAGATTAATAAGAATTAACCGAAGGACTCGGAACGGCGCCGGTTTCCTGAAATATGTAAGATCTTCGGTAATTAAACTGTCGCGAGTCGCCAGATCGCCTCTCGATAATTAGGTTCTTCTCGGCGAAGCGCCTCTACCCGCAGTTCGACCACTCGATTTTCACGTGTTGCATTAATTCGAGATAATAACTGTCCGATGGCGACGAAAAAAAGAGCAAAAAAATTTCAGATAAAATTTTGCAACAAATTATGGCTTGGCACATGTTTGAAAGAGATGCGGCCAATCGTCGCTTGTCGATAACGCCTGAAATTCTCGGGGGATCATTATTATTCGATTTTGGATTTGTGAATGACGCGGGAAGCGGATGGATGCGGCAAAGTGAAAACGTACGCACGTTCTTAGTTTATAACATATATATTTATTTGAGCTTTAATTGCATTTTAAAAATACAACCGAAATAATTAAATAATGACAAATCTGGTAAAATGGTTTCAAGAGTCGCGTATACATGATGCATATCTTTGTGGTTGCGTGTTTGTAAGTAGGTAGGTACGTTTCGAACGTATCATTCGCACAGCTGGCTGTTCCTTTTCCTCGAGTGTTACTGCGACAGTGCGTAGTGTTTCTCATGTGTGTGTAGTCGCGCGCGCGCGCGCGCACGCGAATGTGTACATGTGTTATATTCGCTGTCACGTAATCGTCTCGTGTTACGTTCATCACACTCTCAGCAGTCGTATATAATTACAATAATAATATTAATATTATTATTATATCGATAAATACTTTTAAAGTCCGCGATGGAAGAATTAGAGTTTACAAGAAATACGTATACAAGTATGTTCCGTTCTTTCCCGGCCTTCGCTATTGAGGGCCGCACGTAGCTGCTCCATCTTTCCCAATCTCTGTCTCTACTTTCGCGATCTCTCGCACTCTTCCTTTATCCAAACTGTCATTCGACCTTCCTGCCTCTCGTCTTGTTCACTCATTCTTTCATTCGCTCTTGCTCTCTCGTTATTGTAACATTCATGCACTTTGAGGATTCAATCCAATCGCGCCCACTGCTCCGCATTCATCATGTGCCATCACTACATTCTCCGCCACGCATCATCGTAATATAATAATTGTAATTATAATCAATATACACAGTATTCGCGATAATTCGAGTGATAATAATGACAATATTTTACACGTAAAATGACGCGTCGTTGGCTCGCTCTCGGCGCAATAAATATTATTTGAACAAAGAAAATTTACAATGGTCTACACGCGTACGTCACGTCGAGAAATTTTTGCGTTCTTCGACGACGCAGCATTCTCGCTCTCTCACACGCACTCTTCATTTTTTTTTTGCACTTTCTTTCTCTCCATCTCCCTCGCCTCTCACTCTCTCACGCGTACGCACTCGATTCGCGCGTTCTTATTCAATTAATCGCAAGACTCGCTATTGCACCCCTGTTTTCGCGCTGTTCGCGTTTACACTCTTGTTGCCTTTACGCTCGCCCGGCGCGTCTCCGCGCCGAGTCGATTCGCAGCAGTCGTAACCGCGAGACGGTCCTCTTCTCCATTCTCGCGAGCAAACTCACCGGTTTTTTTTTCGTAGTAATAAGTATCAACAAAGAGATTCCTATACAGGGTCGAACCCTAAACCTATCCTATGCGCTAAGAAACTACGGCCTTACGATCTAGAGGTATACATGCTGACGATCTTACGACAGGTGATAGGTAAGCTTTCTCTTCCTTCCGCTCCTCCTCCGATTCTCCACTTTTCTCCTCTCGCCTCCCCCGATTCCGTCTCCAACCGATTTTCTCAGTTCTCCTTGCCTCATACGATTTTTCCTCATCTCACGTCGTAAACGTCCTTAAGTATTTATAAAATCACAAACTTGGCCGCGTGCCGAGCCCCATGACTCAGCAATGCCGCGAGATATGGTGGCATCACAATTTAATTAACGCTCGTTCAACACCCACATCATCGTCATTACATCCTCTCACGTTTCTTGGGCACAAAAGAAAATAAGAGTCACTGCTATAATTCGTTAATTCTTCATACCGATGGAAGTGATACAGACAAACGGAAGGTGAAACGTGTTGCGGGAAAATTCTTAACGATACGAAATGGCGATTGTACAAAGTTGCGCGCGTTTCCTGTCTTCGACTCTTACATTCCCATAGCGATTGCGATCGCGAGGAAAAATTTCGCGAGCGAAAAACTCGCGAGCTTTCCCATGCGCGCGGTCTACAGCGAGAAGGAAACACATTCTAAACGATTACGCGCGCAAGTCTACTCTATAGCGTAATCTTTTTTTCGTAACGACTAAAAAAGTTGGACTAATAAAATGGACAAAGAGAGGAATCAGTATAAAAGAAATAACGAGAGACAGAGAGGCGTATATAAAACGGAATTTCAAGCCTCTCTTCGATGTAGAGATTTTTTTTCTTTTGAGTTTCACGAGGTCGCACGCACGCTAATCGTGTCGTCAACCCAGGAATGATAAAATGCGTGTCCTCGATGACAGACTAAAACGATCAGCCAAAAACGGAAAAGGAGTTTACGTGTTGCGTTGTTGCACCGCGTATTTGTTTAACTCTGCGTGTGAACGAAATATCTTATTATAATAATTGTAATAATCGTCGTAACGGCGAAGTCTTTTCGACGGAGATATCCACATTTAGGCTGAAAGAGCGCGGTGACGAGGCTTGACGCTTGCAGCGATGAGTCACATATGATAACGTTTATATTCCGTATTTTTTACTTTTTTATCGAGCACGTAAATGCAGAATCACCAAAGAGAAGTTTACGATAAGGATAAAACCGGCATAATTACGATGAATTTAATTTTCAATGCTATAAGTAATATGCCAATTGTTACAAATAAACATAGTATATAACATGAATGGAAAATGGCACGGACTTGCGTGCTCGAGATTCGACATCGAGATTAAAATTCAGTGAAATTGTACCGATTTCCATCCTCGATTCGTTACACGTACCTATTATACGCATCGTATGGTCATAAGAGAATCGAATGATCAAAACTACGAATGTTACGATACGATCGATCTTGTCTTACGTACGACAATAATATAATACGCGAATAAGATGCGATTTATTCCGAATGCGAATAAGTGATGATCGGAAAGTATTTTTATTACATTTGCGATCGTTCGCGTACCTACTAGAATTTCTCTTCCGGCATCGATGTAGCCACGACACAGCCTCTTTAAGCATAAACCCGAAGACGTCGGATGCGCCACGACGTCGTTCGGCGCGGCGGTGTTCGCGGGGAAAGGGGTCATCAAAGTTTTGCTTTTTTTTTTCCTTTTTCAATCACATCGCTAGTTACAGTCGTTACAGTATAGATACATTTATGTACAAGTGGCACCGCTACTTACGGGGCTCGGACTATACGTACTTGCTGGACAGCTGCTTCGCCAGCTCCGTATACTTGAGAAATTTCGAGTGCGGGCTCTCCTCGAGGGGCGAGGCCGCTGACTGCGACGGGCTGCCGTTCGCCTGCGGAATCGGCGGCGACTTGTTGCGCTGCGACGTCGGCGGCGATGAGGAGTTGCGGCTCGGCCCGCCGGAAGTGCCCTGGGACGCCGCCGTGGCGGCCGCCACCGCAGCGGCTGCGGCAGATCTGCCGATGGTCAACGGGTCCGGGATAACGCCGTCCTTGACAAAGTGCATCTTCGACAAGTGGTGCCTGTAAGCGCCTTTTGAAATGAAGGGCGTGTCGCAGAACGCACACTTCATTATCGAATCTGCGGTCACCACGGCATCGTTGCAAGCCCAGCTGAATGCCAAGATCGCACCTGGTGTCGGTCCGGGACCCGGACCCGTTGTCCCCGCAGCGCTGCCGCTGCTCGAGCCGATGGTGGTCGCGGAACCGCCGCCGGATCTCGATGCGCCGCTCGCGCTCGAGCCTCGCGTCTCCGTTTTGTCGCACAGCTTCTGCAGCGCCGCGAGAGGATGACTGCTCGTCTTGCGCCCTTGCGAGTCGACGTTGCCGCCGCTGCCTCCACCGCCACCGCCGGACAAACTGTCGAACATGGACGACAGCGCACCGAGGCTGCTGGACGCCTTGGTGTCGGGCGTGCCGCGCGGCGTCACCGATCGGTCGCTGCTCGTTGGACTGCTCGTGCTGTTTCTGCACGGGCTGCGCGCCACCTGTTCCACCTGGCTGGTCGGCCGAGGCGTCGGTGGATTCATGCGGGGTGACAGACCCTCCCGTCCGTCTTCCGGCGCTTCGTGGAGGCTGCTCCGTCGATGATTGTAGGAACTCTGATCCTCCTCATCCCGATCGTCCACCACCTCTTTCTTCACGAATACTTCCCTCGTCGATTGCTGTTGTTGTTGTTGTTGTTGCTGCTGCTGCTCCTCCTCGTTCGCGCCTCGTTCCTCCGTTTCCTCGTCCCGTGGCTCTTTTTTCACCACCACAGTGGACGGTTCCTCATCACCGGACTCCTCTGTCGGCTGATGATGGCGACTAGGTGGCAATGGAGCGGTCTGCTTCTCCGGAGTGACGCGATGATGGTGAGACAGAGAGCTCGAGTGTCGTTCGTGGCTCGTGGCGGATAAGTCCATGCGTCTTTCCGGCGTCATCGTGTCCGTTCTGCCGCTTCCTCGTTCCGATATTGAACTGGACTCGCTGCCGCTTCGCTCTCTTCTCGCCGCGGCACTCGCGTTGTAATGTTGCTGCTGATGCTGCTGCTGCTGATACGATCGAAGTAGATTCATCGTTTGCGGATCCACGAGAGGTTTCGTGTAGTCCACGCTCTCGTCGATGCCCAAACGCTTGAGGATGCTCGTACCCATAGGCGCCCCGGGCTGAGCGTGATGCAGGCCGGGCGTGCCGTGCCTCACGCGAGAATCGAAGCTCTTCTCGATGAGTTTCTCTATTGCGTTCAGCACTGACGGCGAGGTGCCTATCGGTGCGGCGTTGTCATTGGTATTCGGCGTGGGAGTGTCCTTTCCGGGTGTGGTCGCGTCGCTGGCCGACGACGGTGAGCGGTGGTGCCTCGACGATATCGAGGATGTCTCCTCGTTGACGCTCTTCCGCCCGCTTTCGCTCGGCGGTAACGTCGCGGACAAATGATTGGACATGAGCGCGTTCTTGAGAAAGTTTCGCTGGCTACCGCTCACCGTGCCCGCGCCGATGCACTGGCGTATGTGCTCGACGAAGAGCGGCGTCTCGATCTTATCGCCACATTTCTCGCACGTGATCCTACCGGCGTGCTTGCCAAGACTGTGGGTCAGTCCGGCGGCGGCGTCGCCGTTCTTGAACTCGTTTTGCGCGCGCTCCAGTTCCAGCAGCTTCCTCACGGGCAGTGATTTTTTCCGTTTCTCGCGCGTCTGCCGCCGGCGACCTCCGCTCTCGGTGATCGATCGCATTATGTGCTCTTTGTAATGTGAATTCTTCACCATGTGATTGCTCAGCTCCTTCAGAGAGCTAAACGCCTGATCGCAGACCTTGCAGGTTAGTACAGCGCTGACGTGACTGCTGGTGGCACCGGCGCCGGGACCGCCGTTGTTCCCACCGTGAGGCGCGGATCCTCCGCCCGGCTGCACCCCCGCGCTACTTCCGCCACCGGCGACGCTTCCGCCACCCCCGGCACCGCCAGTCGCGCCGCTTCCTTTGCTCTCGTCGGACGACTTCCAAGATATTATCTGTTCCTGAGAGATGATATTCGTGTAGTGTTGCGTTTGCTGCATGTGCGACGTCATCTCGGCCAGAGAGCGGAAGCTCTGTCCGCACCACATGCACTTCAAAATCTGCCGCGTCTGCTCGGCACCCTTGCCCAGCCAGACGTCCTGGCCGCGCACGAGCTTCCGCGGCAGCGGCATTGTTTCCTTGATCAAGAGATTTAAATCGGATGGACTCTGCTTGTTGCTAGGCGCCACCGAGCTGTTGCTGCCGCTGTTATTGCTGGACGTCTGCGGCTGATGCGGTTGCTGCGGCGGCGGAATGGTCGGCATGGTCGTCTGCTGCGAGTGAATCCCCTGCGCTGGCGGCGGCACGGGCATGTTGACGCCGCAGTGCTTCGCTTCTTTCATGTGCGTCGTCATTGCGGCCAGCGTGGGGAAGCTCTGCTTGCACCACACGCATTTCAGAACGTCCTTCGCTTGATCGGCGCCCTTGTTCAACCAGTGAGATTGCCAGGCGCTGTGACGACTGCTGGACGTTGTCGCCGATGCGTTGGCGCCGGTTGTATTGCCACCGCCGGAGGACGATCTGAAGAGATCCTCGCCGCCGAGTTTGCTCAATTCGCTCATCTTCTCGAGCGCCTTCGTGGCTTCGCTGGGCTGATACGGTTTGTCCAGCGCCGCTGGCGGCTTCATTTTCCCGTTCCAGAGCTGATGATGATCCACCACGCCGCTGGTGCTCTTCGGCGAGAGCTGCTGCTGACTAGTAGCCGCTGCCGCCACCGCCGCGGCGAAATACGGGAAGTGCGAGGCCACCACCGGCGACGTCCAGGGCGACACGACGGGCGGTCGACCGAAGCCGGATGACGTGACACCCGCCGCCGTTTCCGGAAGATTCGTAGGATTCGTCGAGGAAGCCAGTCTCGACGACTTGCGCGGTGGCGGCGGCGGCGAGTCCTCCGGACCGGGTCGTTTTCTGCTGGATACCGAGAGATCCAGCGGACCGTTGTTCGTTTCCGTCGAGGATGACGGCGTAGGCGGTTTGCTGAGATTCAATATCTGTTCCTCTTCGTCCTCCTCGGCGGAGGTGGACACCTTCCTCGTGCTAAAATCCAACACGGCTGGCAGCGGTGTCGCCGACGGCGAGATCTCTCCGATGCTGGTGGGCGAGACCAGAAGACCGGGGGTGGCGGCCGGTGGCGAACACGAGGAAGAAACCAGTGGCGACACCGAGCCGCGCGACAAGGGCGAGTGGCCGAGGAGGAGGCGCTGATGAGTCTGTTGCAGGTACGCCGCCATGACCGCTGCTGACTGGGGCGGTAGCAGGGGGTGATTTCCGAAAGGTAGAGGCACGATACTACTTGGACTGACCGGGCTCGCGCTGCTCCTGGTGGCGGGTGGTGGGGGACTTCCGGTCGCCGGACCGGACGATTCCCGAGAGTCTCTCGAGGGACAGCGCGGACTCATTTGCTCCCTGAAATTGCAAAACGATGCCGTGCGTTATAATATAGGAACACCTTCCATTCTCGCGTCCCGATCTCGCCTCTAATTTCCGAGGCCGCTGAATGATGAACGAAACGAATCTTATCGGAGCCGCGCTAGAAGACTAGAAAACATTCGGAGAAACTCGCGGCCGGGGCAGTGGCGATTAATCATGATAAACGTACGATAATTTTCTTGTAACCGATCCGCGAGCATCGCGGCATAACGCAGGTGACGCTGTGTGACGTTAATATTTCATAAGCGTCCGCCATGGGAATTACTGCGCAAACAGCTTTCGCCGTACGGCACGATGGAAAGGACGGATACCCGGAATCATCGGTAGAAGTAAGCGGAAAAAAAGTCTCGCGTGATAGATAGAGCTTAGGGACGTTGGCGTGTTGCGCGATGGTAACAGCGATGGATAATTCACGCTTGGAAACGTCTGTCGTTGGCCTCGCACGCGTACACGCGAAACGCATGAATGTACCGTGTAAATATACGAACGCACAACAAGTTTATGACTGATTATTACCGCGTATTATCGACATCGGAAACGAAAACACACTTTGCGATAAATTATTCGTGAACTTTTCATAAGCGCGTTCGCATCGCGAGCGCTGCTCCTCAAGCTCAAATAATGCCGCCGCGGGGCGATAACGCTCGCGAGGTAACGGACCCTCCGTCGTGACAAATTGCGATTAATTGCACGCCCCGACAACGAACGTTAGTCATTATTCTGCGCGCGACAACAAAAACCGCGCGCGGTTTACTCCCGAAGTCGCCGTGTGCGCGCGGAAGCGATCGATACCTGTCGCAGCGTCATCAACGTGCACGAAGATCGCCTCTATCGGGAAGTGTGCACGTGGCTTGGAGCGATTAGAACCAGCGTGGGCTGTACGCGCGACGGTGGACGGAGAGTCTCCGACTCGGCTCTCCCTCGGCTCTCTCTCTCCCGATGCGATGCACACGGCGGCGTGGATGCTGCGGAACGACGCGGCGCAGCGCGGCGTACCAGGCCTGTCGACGGCTCGCTCGTAACTGACTGTTCCTGACTGAATGCCGAATGCGTGCCGCGAGATGAAAGGGGACCACTGCCACGCATGCAGGGGAAGTTTTTGGGGGCTGGCGGGACGGCGCGGTGCGCGGTGCGGCGTGGCGCGCGGAGCGCGGGTGTAGGAGGGCGGAAGCGCCACCGCCGCCCTCGGTTAGGAGGCGAGCGCTGCTCCGCGCTAGTGGGGTCGTCGGTGCGGGACGATGTGTAACACGTGCCTATCTCTATTAGCCGTGTGACGTCGCGCGCGGCAGCCACCGATATCAACTCTGACACTGGCTTATTTATCCCTATCCGGGCCTCGCTCCGTGCGCGCTCCGCCGCTGCTTAACCCCGCCGCTTACCTCGCGTACACGCGCGTTTACCAGCGAGACCCCGCGTGACGATTTGTTGCTCTTAAACAACGAGCGGGCTCTGTGTACACACGAGGGGCGCCCGACGACGGCGAACATCAAAGCCGGCGGCGTCGCGTCGGCGCGGCTCGCGATGATTTAAGCACTTTATTATAAGGAGCCTCCCTCCGCCGCGAGCGGCGGATAAAGTGCTGCCGGGTCTAATGAGTCTCTGGCAGACAATGTTGATCGAAATTTAGGTGCGCGCTTCTGACGCTTATGTGCCGCTATAACGTGTCGCTTCTACGACCGCCGCGTGATTTGCGTTGGCAGATTACTCGCGAGACCACTCGCGGATGCGCACACGCTCGCTTACATCACGTCGCTTCTTCACGCGGAAACGTTTGACACCCAGCGTTCTCTTCTTCGTTCGATGTAACAGCCGTGTTTGCGCGCGGAAACACGCAGGCAGAGATATATGTGTATAAGCATAAGTGGGAAAATATTCCTCTGATAAATGTACAAGAGAGGGGAAAAAAAGTTGATGCGGAGATAAATTGATTACCGAGCGAATAAAAGTTATCACTAGCTCGTTGTAGCTCGTTTAAATTTATATTCCACTTTACACTCCAGTTGTCAACCGTGTGTCGGAGAATCTTTTCCCTCAACTTCTTGGCACAATCCAATCTTTCTTGTTTTATAATAATAATAATTTTCTGTGTCAATTTCTATCCGCTTCTCGGAAGCGTTGAAGAAACATGCTCATGCATTCTTTTTACTATACGATATTTGCATTTGTCAGCAATAATAATATATAGAGAAAACAATAAGGGGATAGACGGGCAACGCTAATTAGCACCGGTGGAATTTACCTGTCCGGAGGTCCTGTGTCTCTCAGGATAGTCGGGTTTAACCTCGAGGTGGCGGAGGGCGGAGGCGTAGGTGGCGATGCCTCCTCGTCGTCCTCTTCGTCCGTTCCCTCGGCATCCTCGTCCTCCTTGGCAGCGGGCGCACAGCCCCTCTCGCTGGGACTAATAGGGCCATCCTCGTCAACGCAATCGCCCTCCTCGCCTTGGAGGTCCGTACCGGGCGCAGAGCCTTCGACGCCGTCCTCCCCTGAAACAAATCGCCGAACGAACGGATCAGTCAACGTCGTCAATTGCGAAAATAGATTCGATAAAAAAAAAAATATACTATACCAACATGCCACATTTCATAAAATAACGACATGCATCTCCGTTAAATGTTTAAATAGCGAATACTTTTTTGCTATTTGCATAACGGAATAAAAGTGGAATTGTTGCGCTGCGAATCAGCAATTCATTTATTTCATCGCGGCCTCCATCGGCGAATTTTTTATTACGCAGATAAGATTTATTATAAGGATAAGATGTTGGATTGAAAAGTATCACCATGTCGTTACGGCGAAGAAAAATACTCACCGGTGTAATCTCATTACGTGACGGATAAGCAAACTTGTATTTCAGGATGTACTACATATCACCGAGAAACTTAGAAATCGAAGAAATAAAATGCGAATACATATTAGATAGTTGATGACGTCGGAATCGCCTTTTCTTCGCGGAGATCGTTGATGTGGGACGCGAATCAAATCCTTCTGTCAGCCGCCGTATCTTGATAGAGGAGCGGAGAAGAACGTACGACCTAAGAGTGGAGATACTGAGAAATGACGAAGCTAAGTACCTAGGAGTGATATAAAGGTTTAGATGGCGAGTAACACAATGGCACTATCGGTTCATTTATCAGCCTTTCGCGACGGCAGCGACGACGACGACGGCGATGGCGACAACGACGACGGCGACGAATACGCGCTCAAGAGGAAGAAAGAGAAAATGCGAGCTATGTCGGATACGTCGTCGTTGTCGACGACGACGGCGGGGTATTGTGTTGCGGGACAAGGAGTTCCATCATCTGCATTATGAGTTTTAATCAAATCGTTTCCATTTGAACCCGCGGTAATGAACGCCGGTGTCGTTGCGACTCCGCACATCGCGGAACGTGACCTGATCTAAGACAGATATTTCAGGAGCAATCATGCCGCGCAGATTTTTCACACACTTTTTTCCACCGATTTACAGTGCGTTTTGTTTACAATCTGAATATTAAATGTGCATATGCATAAAAAAGTCTCGTTAAATTACTATCCCAAAGTTTGTGAACGATAAACAAAAATAAAGCGCATTAGACAGAAATATTCGATCAACGCGGAATCGCCATCTTGCTGCCGGTGCATCTTTTTTTTAAAAAAAAAAAAGGCAGCGTTGTGTCCTCGCTCGCGAGCAATCGGCAAGCCAAGCGCGAGCAGAACGAGAGAGAGAGAGAGAGGCGGAAGGTGGTTGCAGCACACCTCCCCTCGCAGAGGGTGGGGACAAACAGGGGAGCACCGTCCTACTTTGCCGAGTGACCAACCAAACGATCGTTTGTTCGCGGACAGACCACGGAAGAGGGAGAGAAAGGAGATCGCACATTGATCCACGGGAGCATCAGCAACTAATTACGCAGATTTATGTCCCCATTGTCCATTGTCTCACCGGCGGAGCGAGTCGCCGGGACCCTGGCGCGGACCATTCGATGGAAGCGACCGGCCGGTCGCCGATCCGGTCGGGACCAGTCGCAGGACGGTAGGTGCACGGAGAGGAGAGAACGACGACGGGGACGACGACGAGAGGAGATAAAAGGAGGACCCTCGAGGATCGCACGGATCCGGGCGCGTATCGAAGAGGGGAATGCGAGAAGTCGAGGAACCGAGCGGGCGGACCACCGGCGGGCAGCCCCGCCCGCTACAAACGCAGCAGCCCGGTCTTTTGCCCTTTCGGTCCTCTCGTCGCTCTTGTCGTCAGCTACCAGCTAGAATCTAGCGTTTGCGTGCCGCTCGCTTTTACCCCTTCCTCTCTCTCTCTCTCGGTTTGCGCCGCTTGTCTTTTGTCCGCGAGATACAAGCTTAATGCGAAGTAGCACCCTTACGAAATTTCAATCGTGACCCATAACGCTACGCCACTTCTCGCGTCTCCGGGCAGAGACTTCAACGAGCGCTACTTCGTTTCCGAAAGCAGCGCATGAAACGATCCTATCTTTATGTTCAACGTGCACGATAATTACGTTCGCAGGAATCATTTATCGCAAATGTTTTATTGGAGAGATGAAACTTGTTCGTATTGTCATCTATTATTGCTGCTTGTGTTTAATTTTTCCAAAAAGCAGCATTCAAATAATTCGTTTATTATATTTTGAAGTTCGAAGAAGGAAAATATCAATAGTTATCATTATTAACGAATATTACAACTCTTTAGTGATATTAGCGATCCAGCCAGAATGATGTAGGTCGAATCGAGAGTTCCGCGATTCGAAAGTATTTCGCCGATGATTGGGATCGATCGGACGCCGGCATCGGGCTTCGGCAGGATGCAAATACCCCGCACGAACGGAGTTCGTGCGGGCCTATTGGCCGGCCGCTAACAAGGACCGCATCGCGTTGCACATCCTGGACGCAGCCGGTGAGATACGCCGAGAGAACAAGGAGCGTGGCGTACCGAGCTTAAAAGCGGTCGAGTCTTGACACTCGGCGAGATGCTACCGGCCGATATCTGCTCCTTCTGTCCTTGACTCACTCGGAGCGCAGCACGTTAGAAAGAAGCGCGGTGCATTAGCGGCCGTGCGCAAACTGGATCGCGCTATCTTCGCGATGATTCCGCGCCAATACTCCGCCTACGACTCGGTGCCCGCAACAATAATTAGCGTTATCGGCGAAGCATCCGCTTTCTAACCCCGTTACCGATCTGCCTGATTTTTTTGTCCGCCTTCTCTCTCTCTCTCTCTCTCTCACTCTCTTTTACAAATGTGTATCTTCTCCATGCATTCTCCCTTTCGCTCCTTTGTTGAGCCTTTCTTCACGACGAACTTGCGCACGAGCTCCGGATATAGATAGCAGACACCTGCATATATTGGCGTACATATGTTAGTGATGTACGAACGGTTAACTGGCACTGGTGCCGCGACGGTATTAGCAATCCTGCGAGTCAGTTGCAAGGCTAAACAACCCAGCGAGTCACGCTCGTTAGTTGCACGGACGATCGGCAGTTGTTAATTGCTAGTAAATCCTAATCTTTTATGTGATGGCAAAGCCTCGAGAGCGTCTTGCGAAAGAAAACTATATCAATTTTAGTTGATTAAATTTACAGATCAATCGAAGAATATTAATTATTCTTCAATTTGTAGAAAGAATTTTCAACTACGATTTATAAGAAAAGTAATGTACTGAAAATTCTTCTGTTAATCGTAAAGTGGAAAAATATATTGTAGCAAAACATTATTTGCATTCTGTTAAATTAATTAATTTCATTAATCTACTTTGTTTTCGAATCTACTAGTGATATATTACACATGAATAATTTGTCTCATAGAAAATTTTCTTAATTTACATCATAATTCAGATTAATTAGAATACGACGTATTATATTTCTCTCTCTTGCGATGTAGTATAATGTAACATGCGTTTCAGAATCGAGAATAAGACTGCTTATTTTCCGTCAATTTCCGAACGTATTCTTTTAAGGCTATTCTTCTAGAAAACGATTTGTCACTCTTAGACGTGCAAAGGCGGAACGAGTCGCCAAGATGAAACGCGGTAAGCCTTACAAATGGCAGAACGAAAAATAAGGTGTTAAGACAAGGATCCTTTAGTGCATGTTCATAAATTGCGGCTGTGAGTAAGGCGTAAATTTTAGCGTGCATAAGCATCCGCACTCTCTGTGTCAGCTTGTGTACTTTAGTGATTTACGCGCAATCAACGCGCTAAATCAGTTAGGTTTGCTTGTAATTAGCATCCACGCCGAACGTCCGCCTAGTAAGGAAATTTATAACGCGAGGTGCCTGTTTAATTGTTTGTAAGAATCTGATATGCATAGCGGTAGCTCTGAAAGCGACATAAGATAACCAAGCATTCTTTATGCAAATATGATTTACAAACACAGCTCGGCGCGATTAAAGACGCAATTAAAACCAATAATTGGAGCATCGCAACATGCCGTATCTCGAAAAGGGGAAAAAAGTCACAAACGCTGTTATTAGGCACCAAGGATAATGAAGGAACGCGATATTAATCTAAGGCCTCATTCTTGTAACACGCCGTGTAAAAAATGGATCCCGTCTAGAATTTGAACGTGTCGAGGAAACTTGCTCTCTCAAGATTATTTCGCATCTATCGATGTGCGGTGTATTACGCGTTCGCAATTAACTGTGTGTGCGAGGAGCTACTACACGTATAAATCCGCTGCCTTTATTCCGTTGCCTCATTGTCGGACAGGCCGACGGTGGATACCAGTAATTACGTAACCACCGTGTTAGAATGTAGAGCTGCGTACATCAGAAAAGATCTCCGCGAGCCGCCTGAACTTGACGATGGGGCACGAAGTTAATTTCTCGTCTCTTCCACGTCGGGACGGCCAAGCGAAGTTGCCGGGACGCCTTTCGAGAGACGGTTCTTTGATAAGTAGTACTATCTCGCGCACGGTTATCTCGGCGAATATCCCGGGGAGGCGCGGACGATCGGCAATGACGCGCACTCGCGCGGCCCGCCGGGGCAGGCGAGTAACCGGGTCGAACTTTAGCTACGTCCTGGCAATAAAACAGTACATAATAACAAGCCGGCGGCTGCAACGGCGGCAGGGAAGGAACAAAAGGAGAACCCGGAGGAGGACAGGAGAGGAGATGAATTTCTGATGCGAGAACCGTCGGAAGGCTGGCGGGGAGAGTGACAGGAGGCAGACGAAGAGACGAACGGATGGACAGGCAGACAGACGGACGAACGGACGGGCGGACAGAAGGACGAAGAGGGACGGCGTGAAGAGGGAGGCCTCGCATTGTGATTCTCTCGCGGTCTGCCAGAGAGTGACTGACGGGTGAATCCGTTTTCTCCTTCCTCCGCGCCCCTCTTCCTCTCCTCCTCGCGCGTGCCTTCTGTCCTTCTTTCCGTGTCTCTTTCGCTCCCTCCCCCCGGCCCCCGACCCGCGACTCCGCTTCCTCCCGGAGCAACCGGCTTTCAAAGCCTCATACTCAATCCGCATTCGAGAGATACAAGACGTTGATTTACGACTTCC